ATTGAAGTGACAAGTGTTTAGTTGCCATCTCTAGTATGTTCATCCATCTGTTAAGCCAGAGCTTATGGAGCATGTATGTGTCCATGAGAGCCTCCTATACATAGATGCCTAATAGGTGATATTTGATGGTAGTGAGTAGGTTTTCATTTTTGCTAATAGATAAATATGATAGAGGGAACATAGACTTTGAAGTCAAAAAGGCCTGGATTGAATTTTAGACTTTCCCATTATTAATTGCTTCAAGAATCCATTTCTTCACCTATCAAGATGAGAATCTGAAAGGTTTCTCTGCATGGTTGTCTTGAAAAATAAATGGGACAACATGTGCAAAAAAAAAAAAAAGCCTGGCACATAAGCAACCTCAATATTCATTTCTCCTTCTAATTTTCTAAAGAGGCAAGGGCTAGACTCCTTCATCCAGCACTTCTCATTTAGGCTTTGGATTTCTTTAAATGAGTTTCAGATTAAGATTCTGGACCATATCTATACTAACTTATACTCTATCATGGCATAACTGATCACCATCTAAAGAAACACAAAGGAGCAACTGCAGAGCATTAAATATTTCATTATTAAATACATTTGGCTTAATATTTAAATTATCTAAATGCCTCACAAAAATGAATTAAAGTATAATCCAATGCATTAATTTACTCAACAAACATTAATGATTGTTCCTCACTGTTAAACACACGGAAAGTGCCAAGTATGGAGTTTGAATGAAACAGACAGATCTGTTCCCATGGAGCTTATCACACTATCTTCAGGGCTACACTCTAGAAGTGTTGCTTGTGCCTGTGGAATGTGAAATATTTTGTTCAATCAATGACATAAAAAAATGCTTACTCTAAATGTATAATGTACTGAATTCCACAGTATCACTGCAAAACATCTGTTTCTAATTTCCAATGCAAGATTGTTGCAGTGAAATATATCACGAAAGTATTGAAACCTTAGGCAAACCATTGTGGATCTCAGCATGGCCTTTTTTCCTCTGTTGTTGTTGTTGTTATGTGCTGTCGAGTCAGCCCTGACTCATAGTGACCCCTCCTTGGGTTTCCGAGGCAGTATCACTACGGAAGGATTACCCAACCTTCCTTCCGAGGAGTGGCTGGTGGGTTTGAACCACCAGCATTCTGGTTAGCAGTCAAGTGCCTTAGCCACTATACTACCAGAGCTCCAGAAACCAATATACGTTTTGGGAGCAGGAAATAAAAGAATTTTGTTTTAGACTGTGGCAAAAGATTTTAACCATAAATGAACGTATATATATATATATTTTCAAACATTCCTCCAATGAGTTTTGACAGCAGCCATAATTTGGCTAGTAAAAACTTCCAACTATTCTTTCACTATTTCCTATCAGTGTTCATGGGGTCACATACATAATAAATGCTGGAAAGTCTTAATGCTGAATAAACAGAGTTGGATAAAACAAAGAAATGATTAATGATATACTTTATTAAAGTGGTATTTTGAACACTGACACATGATTTTGGTCTGCTCACAGTTACTTTAACACATACGCTTAAAAATTGACTGGTCAAAGCAGCAATTACATCAATTCACTATAAGAAGCACCATACATCCAAGCGGCACTTTGGTAAATGATAAAATAAATGCACACAAGAGCCTTTCAATAGAAATTACATGTAGTTTATATTGAGCTACTAAATTCTGTGCTGGAATCCAATGTCAGATATTTGGAGATTTGGGAAGAACTCCATTATTTCACAGCCCAGAGTATTCAGTATGGCCATCAATGGACCATTTCAACCGTCTAAGACAACAGGGGCTTCCAGAGAATCAATCTGTTTCTTCTCAGATGCCAAAAGCAACAGCCAGGTCATCACAGTTTGGTTTGTCCACCATGTAAAGACATGATGTTTTATTTCTGCTTAAGTCATCCACTTAAGTGAATCTAATAAAAACAATAAAATGAACCCAAGGAAATTTCATATCACTTTTAGACATCAGTATGAGAACCACTGAGGTGCACAAGGAAAACACAAATACACATTTGTTTAACTGTTCAGTGCTAAATTTTAATCATCCTATTCCCCTCCTCCCAGTCCAAAGGTTTTCTTACTATCATATTACTATGAAATTAAATCCACGCCTTTTCTTTGAAAGGAAACCAAATGTCCTGTTGTACGTTCAAATAAATGCTATAAGAGTTAGCATAGTCCTCTTCATTCTCTGCCAAGATTTTAAAAAGAGAAATAAAATCTCACTTTGGGTAGGCAATGTGTCTACAAAAAATCATTTGTTTTTTAGATCATGCTAATAGATTCTTCAAAATAAGTGATTTTTAAAAAACTGTAAGAATTCAGGAAAAGTTCACTTCAGAAAATAAAAAGAATCAAAACTGATCCCTCCAAAATGGATTTTTTCCAGAAAATACATAAGGTCAATTGACTCTGAAGAATTTAAGAAATATAAAGATCTGTAAAAAATGAATACTTTATGGAGAGTAAGATTGCATTTACTTTTGAATACATAAGCTACTTAAAAACTTGTAGTTGTGAGAAATCACAACGCTTTTAAAAAAATATTTTGTCAAATAAATTTTGGCAAATAAAGTTTTGCAACACTTAAAAAAGATGATTTATATACTATACATAAATGAAAGGCAAACATAAATACAATTGATTTAAGTTTTATTACATTAATATAATTTATGCCATACCTATACTCACATGGCAATACCCACGTGGCAAATTCACAGTTATAACTAAGAAAACTGTATTTAGAGCATTATTTTCAGCATTATTTGCAAAGTTTCCAGTAACAGAAGCTTAATATAAGTATGCTTATCTGTTATGGATTATAGCAATCTACATTTTAACTTATTCTTCAACATTGTGGCATGAAAAACACAAACACCAGTGTTTAACCCTTTAATCAAAGTTGGCTGGTTTAGGGTTTTACAAGTTTTCCAGGTAGAGCAGAGCAGAGTCCATCCCAGACCATAGTCCTTCAAATTCCTCTGTCAACCCAACAATCTACCTCAATCCATCATTGACTCTTAGGCTTTTTAATTTGACAATATCCTTCTCTACTTTATTTTTTAAAGTAAAATAGGGAAAAATAGTAATATGAAGAATTTAAGACAAAAATGAAACTTGCATCTGTAGAATGTTATTTTTGTGTTTATAGTCTTTGTTAGCCTGTTATTGGAAATTCTCCATACTACTAAATGTAGTTTCCATATTTCTTTGCAAGAGCAATACCATTTCCCAGCTTTCTTCCTCCACCTTTGGCTCCTCACTTCTCAAACAATGACAAGGAGACTATATTCTTTTCTGTAATATTTTTCCTCCTTTCATCTAACTTCCTTACAAAAAAGGGGGGGGGATTTATTTAGTGTTTTTTTTTGTTGTTGTTGTTGTTGCTAAATAAAGGACAATTCCTGATTAATATAGACAGGAAAATTCTAATTTTATTTTCTTCTATTCCTGAAAAGGTAAGGAAAAGATGTCAATATTTATACTGGGTCCTCTTCCTTCTAATAAAAAGCTGAAAGAAAAAAGAGAAATCAACTCTGAAAACTGGGAGTTGACGGTATATACCACCCTCAACTTTTTTTCTTAGTTTCTTTTTCTTTTAGGTCTACAACAAAACCGCATATCATCCTTAACACTCACATACTATTATTTTATAGGCAAATTATCAAATAGCAATGTGGCTGCAACATGCTGACTCTGTTCCTAGGTTTTCCAGGTGAATTACTAACCATAAAGTATTTTTCTACTGTCCTTTTAAATCTGTTTCCTCATCTGCCAATAACCATTTGTTCTACACTATAAGAAAACTGTCCTCAGCTTCTCTTATCAATAATTTAAAGCTAACTGGTAAGGAAGCTATGCAGGATTGTTCCCTTTGTTGTTGTTGTTGTTAGGTGCCAGTGAATCATCTCTGACTCATAGCGACCCCATGCATAGAAGAACAAAACACTGCCTGGTCCTGCCCTAGCTCCACGATCCCTGCTATACTTGAGCCCATGGCCGCAGCCACAGTGTCAATCCATCTCATTGAGGGCCTTCCCCTCCTTCATCGACCATCCACCTGACCAAGCATGACATCTTTCTCCAGGGAATGGTTCCTTCTCACAACATGACCAAAGCAGGTGAGACGAAGTTGGGCCATTCTCGCTTCCAAGGAGCATTCCGGCTGTTTGTCCTCCAGGACAGATCTGTTAGATCTTTTAGCAGTCCATGGTACTCTTAGTATTCTTTGCCAGCACCACATTGTTCCCTTTAATGTTATATTATTCCAAAACATTCATACATACAAACTACCACATATAACATATTTATATACTATGTAGAAATAAATTGCAGATAAAATTCCAAATGCAAATTTATAGATTCACATTTTAACAGGAAAAACATGCAGAAAAAAGAAAGTATGCTTTAACATTACTAAATTACATAGCAAACAAATATATAGAGCATGTCTTAATGTTTGGTTTAGGTTTCTTCTTTCTCAGAAGTCTTAGGAACGAGCAAAAAGAAGGCATAAATCAAGTTATGTCTACAGCAATATCATTGACTGTGGTATTATTTTTACTAACAAGATATTCATCTTCTTTACTCTATACAAAAAGTGATATACACATAGTATATACAAAACACAAACACTGAGTTAGAGATAGCAAATGAAAACTTTATACAAAATACTTGATACCGTCAGTATTTAACTTTGTATTGTGTTGACCAAAAGACTCTTAGTTTATGTATTCTTTTCTGAGATTAAGTCACATCTATAGAGCATTCTTACCTACAGAAAAATAGGAATGAATGATAGCAAGGCGCTGGTGACACAGTTGAAATATACAAGTATACCTGTTCATGTATATGCACATAATTTAGCAATGTTGTAGTATCTGAACTAATTTCTTTTGCATTGCTATATTTACCAGTAAGTGGTCCAGAATATACAATACAGTAACAGAGACCTCAGTTTTTATACTTAGTCCTTGGTTCAGATGTTAAAAATAAGCACTTGTAGGTAACACATTGAATAGCTGTCAAAACACTGACTAATTTTCAAGAACTAAAAGATAAGAACCTTTTCAAGTGAATGAAGAACAAAATTGACCAAAAGAAACCCATAGCTGCCTAGGAGTCTTAGAAATTAGAAATTTCACACTCTTATCAATTGCATCAAAACCACTTCTCATTTGCTCATGAAATCCATTATTCACTCACCTTGGAGACTCACAATCGCTTAATAACACATATCCTTACACTGATTTTGTTAAGCTGAACATATATACGATAGGTATTTATGAAACACTACTAAGTAAAGGATTACTAGGTTTACACTGACTTGTGTACTGATTAAGCGAGTCTTATGGTCACGCTAGTACAGGTGACTTTTTGTTCTTATCAGTTTCCTGACATGCTCAGTGAACAAACTACTGCACAGAAAATCTCAGTCCCAGCAAGCAATTAGGCCCATCGTCCACTGGAGGCAAAACTTCTGCTGAATGAGAAGTTGATTTCGGAGTTCTTGTATTTTCCCCAGGCACCAAAAGGAACTACTACCGCAGTACTGTTATCTTCTGTACCATATTGTATTGCCTACAAGATTTGGCAGGAAGGGAGAGAAAATTATTTGAAATTAGAGTTTATAAAAAGAGAAATCTCACAGTGAAACCATATGTGCAGAGTAGAAATGTTCCATAGAGTTTTCAAGAGTGTGATCTTTTGGAAGCGAGTGGCCAGGCCTTACTTCCCAGGTGTCTCTGATTGGGTTTGAACTGCCAACCTTTTGGTTAGCAGTTCAGTGCTTAACCATTTGTTCCACACAGGGACTCCTATATGGGGTTGCCATGAATTGGGATCAGGAGCTCTGGTAGCGTAGTGCCTAAGGCACTTGACTGCTAACCAGAAGGCTGGCGGTTCAAACCCACCAGCCACTCCTAGGAAGGAAAATGGGGCAATCTACTTCCATAGTGATACTGCCTCAGAAACCGAAGGAGGGGTCGCTATGAGTTGGGGCCGACTCAACAGCTCATAACAACAACATGACTTGGGATCAGCTCTACAGCAAATAACAACACTACCACAGAGAAATCACCCATTGTTTGGAAGGTCAAACTGGTTCTAAACACAGCTACTAACCCAATTATTTCATAATGTTTTGATTTCTTTAACCCTGTATTAATGTCTCTGTGACTTATTATATTGTACATGTAATAATAACAAAAAAAAAACGAATCCACAATTCCAACTCATGGAGACCCCTACTGGGTTTCCAAGGCTATAAATCTTTACAGAAGTTGACTTCTTTATCTTTCTTTCGCAGAGCAACTGGTGGGTTTGAACCACTGACCTTTTGGTTATCAGCCAAATGCCTTAACCACTACACCACCAGAGCTCCTTAACATGTAATAATAGATGACCTAAAATAACAACTATATCAACTACATTCCAGTGTAGCACTGGCAAAAGAAACACCACTAAGTTGCTAAATGATATGTGGCACCTGAAGAAGAAAATATATGTAAAGCATTTAACGTAGGCCCTAATACACAGTAAGGCCTGATAAATGTTAGTTTTCATCTAGCAATTCTGCTTCTAGGAACTTAGTCTAAAGAAATAATATTCCAAGAAAATGGATGTGCATAAAAATACAACAATAAGAATGTTCAGTATACTCTTCATAAAATGGAAAAGTGGTAATAAACTAAATCTTCTGCATTAGAATTGTAAATCAATTTTAGGAACTAATTCAAATACAAAATGATACAATTGGAACTGTAAGAAGTAGTTGGGACTGCACTTGACATCAAGTGTATTTTAAAATACCTCACAGCATGAGGCTGAAGTTATGAAGGAAAGTTTGATAAAAATAGCTGATGAAAAAAGCTTCAATCAATGAAAAAGTTTTACAAGCAAATTAAATGATGGGAAAAAAAAAAAAGAAACCTGACAATGTTGGACAAAGTGTTAATATACTTAAAATATAGGAGGTTCATATAGGAGCTCTGATGGCATAATGCCTAAGGCATTTGACTGCTAACTAGAAGGCTGGCAGTTCAAACCCACCAGCCACTCTTCAGAAGGAAGACTGGGCAATCTACTTCCATAAGATACCACCTCGGAAACCCAAGGAGGGGTGGCTATGATCACCATGAAAATAATAAGCATGCTAATAAATATTGGGCAAAGAGAAAAATAAACATCAAATCAACAAAGAAGAAATACAAATAGCTAACAAATCTACGTAAAACAGTTAACTCCACTAAAAAAGAAGAACAAAAATTTCAACCTAAAATCTGATTTTCTACCTATCAAATTGGTTAAAAAAAAGGTGTAAGAATTTGCAGAATCACAAGCTATAAAACATAGCTAGTGAAAGTATAAATTGATGCCCCTAGCTGCCCTTCAGGTCTGGAATTGAACCCACAACTGTGGTTTCCAGCCAAACAAAGTACAGGCATGTGAGTTAAACATTTACCTC